TTATGGGGGTGGGGGTGGGGGTGGGGATGCGCGCAACCTGCACCCATGACAGCTATTTTACCTCCCTCCCTCTATCTCCTTTCCTAACCTCATAATTTGTGTTAACCTTTCAGTGTTCCTTTCAGCTACCCCATACCCGGTGTCCGTTACTGTTGCAGCTTCATCAACGCAAGCGGTGCCGGAGCCCCGACGTCTGCAGCAGCAGCAGCAGCAGCAACTGCAACCGTCGGAGCTGCAACCTTCGCAGCAGCAGCACCAGCGTCAACGGGCCGTTGTACGACACAACGACGAGCACGAGGACGACCTTGTAGCTGAGGAAATCGACTGAAAACACAAGTATAACTAGATGCCTCTGTTCGTATTACTACCGCCGATAGATGGCTGTTGGGTGATTGAGCGGTAACGACGACAATCCATGTTGTGATCCCGCCATGGATGTACCGCTCACTAGCAAGCAATCAAGGCATTGTAGGCTGGTTTGTTGGTACATGTGATCCAGGAGGAGGAGGAGGCTGTGTAGGAGGAAACCATTGGTTGGTTGGTTGTGCAGCAGCAGCAGCAGCAGCAGCAGTAGCAGCAGCATGTGAGTTATAGAGTACGGTGCTTGCCACGCATGATCAGCAACAATTTCTTACATTGCGGAATGATATCGAAGTTGTTGATTGATGAGAATTTACATGATGGTAAGAAGATATGCTCAGAAGGAAAAAAGTCGTAGAAATGGGTCACTTTATTATTACGCGACGAATTAATCTGAAGTACTCTGTGTACATACGTCGCACCAGTACTAACCTTGTCCAGAACAACAGCGAATTTTGAGAGGAATCATCGTCGTACATATGTACTGCACAATGTACATGTAACCTTCGTCTTGTAGTAAGCCACGTACGTTCGACTCACTCGGGCCGCTACCCAACTCACAAAACCCTTCAAACTCTGCCTACCGTTCAATCATTTATAAAGCACCAACGGAAACGGGAAACGGTTGTCAGCGAGCAGCACCGCACTACAATTTATGTGGAAGCAACACCGGTAAGTGCTTCATGCTCATCGGTCCAAGAAGAAAATCTATAAGAAAATCTATATGCTATATTCGGCGGCCAATTCTCCCCTGACGTTCACAACACCAAACAGTTAGCCCCCGCGCTCAGCGATTGAAGACACACGCTACCGTACAACGTACATCGTACAATACCGTGTTCCAGTGTTCTTGTATGGTGGAATTGTTTCTCATGTCCGGCCAGCTGTCCACGAGACACCGCTAACACTATGCCTACATTTAGCCTACAACTGCCCTAGCGTAACATTCGATCGGATGGTTAGGAGGGGGGAATGGCTGTTCGCAGGGACACAGAATTAGTCGGGTCTGCCCTGCGAAGACGAGGCGACCCAAGCTTTTAAATGCTTTTAAATGGATTTAAGCAGTGATCTGATTAACTAGGGATTAAAGGAGCAATTCCACCTCTGTCCACCAACCCCGGCGCAAAGGTTTTGAACAGCGCACCGTCCTTTTCAGATCAATCGCTAATCAGACATCCACTAATTTATAAAACCGAACCCCTACACCACTCACGACTTCTAGCTACCGCCATGCAGGAGCTCCGCAGGGAACCCCTTTCCCGTCGGGGAGCACGGGAGATCCCCTCCACAAAAACAAGAAACAGAGCCACCTACCGACCCACAGACGCGGAGAGGGGTAGCTTCAATATAACCCCATCCGCATATGAATAAGAATGAATTGTTGGGTGGTACATCAGTACGGCATGTGTGTTGTACCTACCGTACTGCTTACGCCCTGTTTCTTCTAAAAGACCGCTTCCTAAACAACCCCCCAACGATGCAAAACATCCTGCCAAACTGAATATGATGGATGATAACATGCGAACGTGATGGCGACGGGCGGCCCTTCACAGCATAGCGACCATTTCGGTCGACGCTGTTGCAACGTTGGTTGCGGAGGGAATCGATCTTAAATCCATTGAGGAGATTGATCGAGATGACGCTCGCTACCATTCTGAGCGCCGCCACGCCCAAGGGGGAACATGCAATTCCAAGAGACAAGGGCTCTGGATCGAAGAGACATTGTCGACCAATGGAAAAGAGAGGAACTTAAGATTGAGGTGGAGGTATACTGCTACCTACCATCACCATCAACTTCCCCACCGTGTCATCGAGTTTTCATCCTGCGGGCGGCGCATCAGCTGCTGTGTCTAATCTCTTTCTCCTGCTACCTGCCTCCTCCTATCCGCCAGAGGGCACCAACTGCGACGGCTGGGGAGCCGGATGGGCTGGGTCGCGAACTCTGCGGGTTCATGGGCCCAGGGGGACATGCAAAAGGGGCGCCGGCACCAATGTCAACTTTAGGAAGCAGCGACAGCAGCAGTCCTGCTTGCTTTGCGTTTAGAGGAAAGCCAAGCCGACAAAGGAACTGACGGCTCCGCTAAGACTGCAGTCATGTGGTACAAGACGAAGGTATGAATGGATGACAAAACAGTGACAAACAAAGGCCCCCGCAGCTTCTCACGCCTTATCCAACGCCCGACAGCAACCCAAATAGGCCCACCCGTAATGGAAGGTAAGGTCGTCTTGCTCGAGCCACAGGAACTTCTTGACCGCTGCGAGGTTCATGTCGTACGGTACAGCCTGTGTGGACATCATAGTACGGCACATCAGCAACTCAGCGGACACTCCACTCATGTCTGTGCTGCAAATTTGCCTTTTCTGCATGCATATGCCCACTTCACATGCACACGCACGGCTATATCCCGGCATTTGGTCGTCGTTCATCTTGACCTGAAAAATAAAGGATGTAATAGGTTTTTAGACCACCGGGCCTGAAGTGCCAGCCAGGGTCAATCGGTGCGGTGCAGGTGCAGTACGAAAGTACGGCTACTGGTATGCGCTCCAAAGCCATGCATTCCTGCCCCCCCTACATCCGGAGCGCCTGTTTCACCGTGTTTCTCCCTCAAATCAATATCAATATCTCACCAGGCCATTACAGGTCAGCTCCAAAGCGCGGTACGACACGTACAACTGCCCCCCGGCGGCCACGCTGACTCGCAACGGAGATAACGGAATGCGTTCTTTAGGTGTCGCTGAGAGGGCTTCCAGGTGGATTCCATGCTCCTATACGGGTCGGTCGGTGTGAGGAGCACAAAAGAAGAGAAGATAAACACATTGCAAGATCAGGAAAGATAGATCTGGATTGGTTAGGTCCTGGATTTAGATGTTCTTCAGGGGGGATGGACAACGAAGCGGTGAAGGGATGACAATTATGAGCGAGGGCAAGTGTGCGTTATGGTTTTGGATTTCCCAACATAAAGAAAAACGTCACCGAAACCCCAACAAGCAGATTGACGATTTCCGATATTTTCCTTGCGGTACTGTAGCAGCAAGCTGTCGGTTGGTAATGAGACTGTACGCCGCTTGTCGTACCCGCAATTTGTCGCAGCAGTATTCGGCCACCTTGCGAACCTGAAAGCCACGACACCAAAATGCAGAACGAGTCAAACCTAATTGACCGGGCAGTTCCTCGCACTGCGCATGCGCACGTGCACGATAAAAACACAGACGCATCTGGACGGCGGCCAAGAACTGAAAGACGGAAGCGGAAGACAGCATTCACGATTGGGCAGACTTAGCGCCTGGAGAGCATCGCGCATGTGCAGCACTTTTTGCTGCTAGCGCTGTACAAGTCCAACGGAGCAACAGCAACTGGAGAAACAGGCAACCCGCTGTCTCGTGCCGTTCTGCCTCGATGGCGGAGAGGCAAATCGAAAGCCAAGCGCAAACCCATATTGGCCCGGCATCTTCAAAGCACGACGCACCTCCAGCAGATGCGAGGCTTGAAGCCGCGTGATGGATAGGGTGGGCAAGTTGGATCCCTGAAAAGGCAGCAACAGTAGCAGGAGCAGGAGCACCATGGGTTCGAGCCCAAACATGAACTGTGCCGACCCACGGGTCATATATTGTAGCCGGGGCGGCGCGAGCACAGCGCACATCCTAACTCTCCAGGATTCAGATCTCTTGGGAGCGCAACGTACCGAGATTGAGGATCCGTGCTGATCCGACAACAGGCAAACAAAATGTGGTCATCGTCGTACACTCAAGCGTTACGTTTTGTGCCCATGCAATTCACACCTTAACGGGCAGCAAGTAAAATGTGATCTTGGACAGCAGAGGAGCCAGGCTATTGCTCCGTAGTACGACATCAGCCACCCAGGTGGGTACGTCATCGGGTTCGGTTTCGGAGCCGTCGAAGGACGTCAACAACAGCCGCCAGCGCTGCCCATCCGACCGCGAGCAGATAACTGTGGTGAGGACGGAGAGAAGACGGGAAGGGACGGAAGGCAAGGTAAAAGTCGCCATGTCGATCCCGGGCGAGAACTAGGATAAAGTCCGCAGTCACCTTCAGCAGTCACCTACGGAACCGATGAAAACGCAAACGCACAGCACCTGCACAAGCTGCCGTACGGTAGTACGACACGGCATGCCGTACCTGCAGGTACCGTTCCTATTTGCCAATATTTGGGCCACGGCTGCCGGTAATACCACACTCGCTCATCAATGCCCTCGCCTCCACAGTAGCCGTCATTGTCGCCCCCGCAACAGACGGATCGGCCTCCGGAACCATCTTGGGTTGCCAACCCGCCACGCGCCGTACCAGCGCTGCCGGCGCTGCTGCCGCCGGGGCTGATACAGCAGCGACTGCTTTGCATTATCCTTTGCACCCGCATATGCCGCCATTTGGCGAAAACGCATTCCAGGACCAGCTTGCCGTGGTTGACCTGGTTTTGCAAATGGATGGAGGGGTGAATGAAGGGGTTGTATGCGTCAGAATGCACGTACATGGATCATGATTATGTCGAGTGTACGGCATCAGTGTACTGCACGACGTTCCGAGACACGTAGAGGACTATGGGGAACGCGAGCAGCAGGGCCATTGCTGCATGATGACATGAAGCGGTCTTAGGGTTGACCGAAATAGTCGCAGCCCTTTCCTTCCCCCCTCCCGCACCTTGACGTGTTCCGCCACATCTCCGAAACCAACATCGACGCCGTACTCCTCCGCATTGAAAGCCGTGGAGGGCGACAAGGTGATGCAAAGACAGCCAAGTCTGTGATCGCATGTAAACCAGGGTGGGACCGAGCGCTGATCTGAAAGCTCCCGGCGCTTGGCGTCGAAATCCGCCTGGCGGGAGATGACATAAACGACCCGGGCGTTCCGTCAGTACCCTCCGTTACAGCAGTGTGTCAATGGCGGGGTGAGGGGCAACGCAGTTGGCGGTCTCCCAACACCGATTAGAGGGAGAAGAGCCATAAAAGGAGTTATGGAGCAAGGAATATAAAGCAGGAAGTACCGCTGTAAATATAAAATAGTTAAATCGAGTCACGTTATTACTGCTGAACCTATATCTGAGTTTCGTACCTTGCCGTATAGCACCATCTCCGTACCCAGCAGTACATCCCACAATGCCACGTTGCCCTGAACGTCCCTGGTCAGCACCCGCCGTTGGTCTGCGAGAACATGATGCTCCGCAATGGCTGCAAAGAAGAGAACGCACGACGAAAATACGGCAGTGAAAATTCGGGAAGCCCACAATTATTATACAGCAAGAATCAGAGGGCTTGTGCCAAGGGCTTCACAAAGTCCGTATCCATTCCATGCTGTTTATGATATGCACAGGTCGGGGGCAGCACATGACAGGATAGATGACATCCAAGTAAGAAAACTTTCATTAAGCAATGCTTACAGCAGAGCCCGAACGGCTCTACTACAAGGGCTTACAGCACACGCTAGGGCCTTATCCTTAAGCGGACTCGGCAAGCCATACCAGCGCCACTACCAGCTCAGGGCTTCAGCAGGCATGTGCACCAATGTATAAATGCCCTGAAACAGGTGATGAATAAAACCCCTGGGTGGCCGTACAAATATGGCGAGACACAGCCTTGCAAGGAAAACAACCACCTGACAAAACTGGATGCGAGCCTTCGTCCCAGGAAAGCCAAACGGACCACAACCTCCAAAAGACGCGAAACGCCCAACAGTCCCCCACCAGCACCCAAAAGCGCTAATGAACGCACCAGAGCTAACCCCCCCGCCGGAGAGACGGGAACGCAACTACCTACCACATACGAGACGGACCCGCATCAATTCATGTACTATGCCGTACACGCCTTACGGTGACGAGACATGGCAATAACAAAGGCCCAAGCCAATACCCGGTTTGCAACCCCCCCACCGGAGCCTGTGCAAAACCCTAAACCCAAAACCCCCAGGCCCCTGGCAATGCATGCAGACACCCACTCACCTGGAATTCCCGGTATCGTTACCAGGGGCTGCCGTACAAGCGGCCCCAAGCCCGCGGCCAGCTCATGGGAGATACGCAGGGCTGCACCAAGAAGACACGGAGTGCGCGAGTACGGGAGGAGGCAGGTGCAATTCGGTACAGGGATCTTTGGGATCCTCTCGACTTCGACTTCCTCACTCACACTTTAGCTGAAAGCAGGAAAGGAAACATGCGCACATCAACACACGACGAGCATGACGTACGGTACCGAGCTGTAGTGCAAAACTGCCGCACCTGGAAAGCTTCTGCCGCTCTGCAGCAACATCGGGGATGTCTGGGTGCAGCGAGGCGAGCGAACCTCTGGGCCGTCTGGGGTGGCGGCGGCGGCGGCGGTGGCGGCGGTGGCGGCGGCGGCGGGGGGGGAAGAGGAAGCGGCTGCGGCGGTGGCGGGGCTGGAGGCGACGGCGGCCAGAGCGGCGGCTGCGGCTGCGGCGGTTCTGGAGTCCGTTGTTCGCGGCCATTCAGGCGCGGAGGCGGCGCCGCACAGCTGCCGACCCGGAGATGGGACGAGCCATAAGTTCACGTGGGACGCGGATGTGGCTGCCCATAGCCCTATTTGCCCACTGCCGTAGCCGCCTGTGGCATGACAGCGTTTGCGGTGCTCGAGCAGCGTTACTAGGGATTGCATCCTGAGGGAGGAACTGGAATCCGATTTCGTTGGTCGTGTTTTTTCTCCCTTCTAGCTATGAGGCCATGAAAGGCTGAGAGCAAGCGAACCGCTACGCTCACCTGCAGGCGCGGGTCGAGCGTCGGGATCTACTGCCAGGGCACACACAGGGCCATTCTCCAGCGCAAGGAGCTCGCTGAAGCATCTGAGAAAAGGAAAAAATGTGAGAGAAAAAAGGTTTTAAGGATGTGGGGTATATGTGTGGAACTTGGTGGGGGCATTCATGTTTCCCGGCGGTTGGCCAAAATCGGCGCCATGAACGCAGCTCTGGCCGGGTGCAAGGACCCATTCCGGACCGTCGCGAAGGCTCTCGTCATCGCGTCCAACCATGGCTGGGACGTAGCTCACGAGAGGCGGGGTGGAGCGCAAAGCGCTCAAGCAAAAGCCACGAAAGCAGCGGTGAGCAAGAAACCTCAGCTCGGGCAAGTCCCAGGGCGCGCAGCGCAAGCCACGGGCGCGGCCGCGGTGGCAAAGCGAAGCGAAGCACCTCCAACAGCGGGTGTGTGCTTTTCAAATGCGGCGAGAGTTGGGACACGCTTCGCGAAGGAGTGCAAGGGCAAGAACTCATTGACTCGCCAGCCGAGGTGGTGGGCCCCCCACCGAGGCCGAAGGCAGCAGCCTTATGTGGTTGGAGCGGACGAGTGCTAAACCGCTGGTCAGGGGGAGCTCAGAGAGGTGAGGGGCGGAAGCCTGATGTTTCCTGCCTGGCACGGATAGAAACCGGTTTTGTAGGGCCCTATATGTGCCCTCAGGAGGGGCTGTCCAAAGGGGTTGTGGGGAGGCACCGTTGTCCAGTGTAATGATCAAAGTTTCGGGATAGTGCACCCGCACCCAGCCCTACCCCTTCCTGAAGACTGTTAATTAAACATAAAGCTTCTTAACTTTTCTCACTTGCAGGTCTCATGGAAACCGGCAGTTTCTAGCGGAGAACATTACAAAACTATAGTTTTATGAGTTTTTCATGAGATCTGCAAGCGAGGAAAAATTAAAGTATAGTTTTCTAATGATCCGCCAGAAAACATCGCAGTCTTATCCGCCTGGAACCCGATAGAAACCAATTCTGTCCTGTTTCAGGCGGATGAGATTGTGAAGGATATGGAGGCAGCGGATAACCAGCGGAAGCTGACAAACCTTATCCACAGTACCTGGCTAATAAGGAGGGTTTCAAGTAGCAAGCGCATTAGTATGGCATAAAGCGTTCGGTAGTTCGGTACATTTTTACTTTCCGAGCGATAGGATCGTAATAGTCTTTCTTATACGTTTTTACGATATCTATCTATTTTGGACAGCCTCCCGCCCCCTGACCCCCTCAGGTCTCCGGGCATGGGCCCCGCCAGGAGAATACACCTTGAAGAGTCACACGCAATTCCAGGTGTACGACACACACACCCCAAGGATCATTTTGTTTCATGGTTCAGGTAGGATTGTCAAAAGCCATGTACAGAATAATTTTGGTCTTGCAGTAGCGCAAGCACTGTCCCCAACACTGCCGAATCAATCCCGCCCGCCCGCCATGTATCAGCAAGATAACATGCATCCAGCGTCCAGCAAATAGATACAGAAGAAAAGCAAGTACACAGCAAGTGCATTATCTTGAAACTGAAAGATCATATTATAGCGGTTGAAAAACGTCTGCGACATGCTGGCGTCGACCTTGGGCAACGTTTCAATGCACCAATTGGTTTTTTCTCTCCAGACAAATGATAATCGTGCAACAGATGAATAGATTCAACAATGTTTTATAGTGAAGTGTATAACAGATCAAAGCCGGCATAAATTTTGGTACTACATCCGGTAGTTCTTAGGGCTTGACGCACGGACAGCGACACCAAAGTTAGGTGCCTAAGCATGGAAAACGTCTTGTCTCCGAAACCAAACAGCTGAAGAAACGGTCAGTGGTATCATCCTTAGAAGCAGATACCCTGAACGGTTGGGACGATCCCCCGCCCCTTGAGGGACTCACGTTTGCGTGTTGGTACGGAAGAGGGCGCGGTCACGGCCGGCGCTGTACACGTACGACAATGAGTCATCAGGTGAAAGCAACGCCCACACCGAATCGGCATGCACTTGGAAGGTCTGTCAAGGGGCACCCAAAGCAGGAAGCAAGACGGTTCAGAAGGTTGGAGGGCTTGGAATCAGCAACAGAGAAGGACGGTGGAGGGGTGGGGAAGGGTGGGGATAGGACGGGGACGGTGGACGCTGGAGGGGTGGGGGTATGTTAGGGCTTTAAACGGAGGTTTTTAAGCGGGTGCATGGCGACATGGTCTACGCGACAGAACGGAATGACGGTCAGGTTGGGAGGTGCGTTGGAGGAGTTGTGAGGCTAGCAGCGAAAAAATAGTTGGGAGGGGTGCGGGACCGAAGTATGGTCATACGTCTCTGAGCCAGAAAAGGCCTCCTTCAAATCCCCCCGCCCACACACATACTCTCACATCCCGTTCACACACATACATACATACAGACAGACCTGTACGCAGCGCCGCATGCCCACATCCCACAACTTAATGGTCCCATCTGAGGCCCCACTCAGCAACTTAGTGCCGCAGCTGTTCACCGCCAGAGCCCGGACCACATCCTGCGAGGAGCGCACCGAGGGACGGATATTGATGGGGGGGGTTAGGACTGGGCAAATAAGAAATGTCGGTTAAATTCGGTTTGGATGAAAGGTTTAATAACGGAAAGGGGGATATTGCGGGAAGAGCAAACCGCGGCAAAAACATTCCGTGACTCCCCCTATCCAGGAAAGATTTCCAGCGCCGAATGATTCGAGAGTCTCTTGGCCAGTAATACAGTCTCCCCCCCCCTCGGGAAGGTGGAACTTTGTTCCACGTCAGAGGACAACCATAAATGAGTTCTCTCTCTCTCCCCCCCATCTCTCTCTCTCCCTCTGAACAAGTACCTATTACCCCTTTTTCGTTCCAAATTTCCCTTCGCCCCTCCGCCATCGGTTCGGCGGTCTCTCTCTCAATGCCCGGCTATTCAAAAACCTCCCTCCTTTCCCAGCAGCCTTCAATTGCTCAGTTGAAAATGATGGTACCCAGCGATTGGTCTTCCTCCCTTGGCCGCAGCCGTGGCCGCACTTCTTCCCGACACCTTTTTTCCTTCACTAGGTGCTCCAGATGCCGGGGCAGGCGCGCTTGATCTCACCACCATCATATGATTAAGAGCACCCTCCCCCTGGCTACTGCCACCCCCTGGCTGTCCCTGGCTACTGCCACCCCCTCTACCTTGTGCCCTCTCAGCTTGCACACACCGCCCCCGGTCCGCGGGTCAAGCAGCCGCACCAGCGACTCCGAGGTCCCGGCCGCCAGCAGCCCGGCGGAGGGGCTGAGCGCCAGGGAGTACACGGAGCAAGCCTCCTCACGCACCTGAGGAGCGGGGAGGAGTGGGAGGCGGAGGGAAAGAGCGCCACGCCGGGTTGCTGGGGAATGTGTGTCTCTGTGTGTGTGTGTGTGTGTGTGTGTGTGTCTGTTCCTGTTACATATCGATCCGGGCCTGACGCTGGCCAGGGGCACCTAACCTTAGACCCCAACGGGAATAATGACCGCCAGGAAGCAGTCTCCCCCTAGCGGCGGGAGGAGAGGGGCGAGAGGGGCGAGAGGGGCCACAGCCCCCTCCTACTGCTCGACCGAGGGCGCGCGACCCACCCGGTGCCTCTACCTCGTGTATGTCTGTGTGTATTCATGCGCTGAGCCGCGGATGCTGAGCACGGGTGAGCACGGCACGCGAGTAACATTATTACCGAAAATGTGCGCAAATGCATGTGCGTGTGATATTGTGTGCGTGTGTGTGTGTGTGTGTTATGTACACCATTCTCTGAGTCGCGGGTTGAAGATTACACGACGAGTACACCTCCCTCGTCCTAGCGAGTACACCTCAATATACGTGTTCCTGTGCCGTGGCATTATTTGCAGGCTAGGGCGGTGGCGCGCACGACAAGAAAGGCGTGGTGTGGTGAGGTGCGGTTAGGCGTGTGTTTCAGGCTGAGCGGTCACACGAACACAGCACTGGAGGATAGATGCACCCACCTCCGCCGCCCCGTCCTCACAGCCGCTATGGGCGCCTCGCAGATGGAGCTGTGTGTGGAGGCCCCTCTGAAGGGTTTCGGAGCCGGGACCGAATGGCAGGTGTTACTGACAGACAGACAGACAGACATGTACGTAGACATCCATCGATTCATACATGAGCAGCACTTCAGCCCGTTACTACTAGGGTAACCTAAAGCCAAGTAGGGAACAGGTGAAAAGGACTGTATGGCCAGAAGCTTAGCGATGATAACGAAAAGCGATTAAGATGCATTATTGGCATCATCTTCAAACGTACGGCAATGCCGTACCTCCACGTCGTAGCTGAAGACTTCGCCACGTAGCCCCGCCGACACCACCAAGCGGCACTCCGGGGCAGCAGCTAAGCGAGTGACGTAATCGGAGTGGGCTGCTAGAGTGTGAAGCAAATGACCTTCGGGGTGGGTTTAATGTTGGGGGGTGGGCCGAGGGAAGACCCGGCAGATTAGGTGCAGCCAAAGGTATCAAACGTGCACCTTTCTAGAGCCAGCCTTAGGGTTCCAAGCATTGTTCTTTTGTGACTGCGATGTTCAACACCTTGTTCGTCCGGAAAAGGAACAGTTCAGTTCCTCTTCCCTTCTCATCCTTTTTCATCATGGCTTTCTTCAACCGATGGGCACAACGACCTGAAGGTGACTGTGACTGAGCGTTGGGACCGTATGCGCGCACCAATGCCCACCAACCTCTCAGACAGGAAACGGCCCCGTTTTAGTCATCGGAAAAACTAAAGATGCGATGGACTACAATAGTATAGTTTGCGATGCGGCTAGGTACCGAAAGCATTTTAAATCGGTCCAGTTAAAAGACCATATTCCGTCCCCTTCCTTCAACTCGTGCGCTACTGGCGTTCGGAGCAAGCCGTCCGGAATGAAGGCTTGGAGAACCGAAGTTTTAGCACGCTACACCTTTCCGAACGCCCGAATGCAATTGCGTCACAGCAGGTTTGAGGTGAGCTACACAGGCTGCACGGGACTAGCTGGTTTAACCTCCGGGAGAGCCGCTTCGGGGCCCTTCCATCTACGGTTGCAGGTAGGTGGCCGCTTCGCGCATGAAGCTGCCGTACAAGGAAAGTCGGTGCTCACCACTTTCTGAGCCAGCCCTCCATAACCGGACGGTGTGATCATTCGAGCAGGTGATGAGGAGGTTCCCGATGAGGGCAAGGTCGTTGACCCAGTCAGCGTGGCCTTCGAAGCTGGCTTCCAGCGCTGGCTCCGGGCCCGCTACGTCCCATCTGCGAGTTACAAGCAATTGTAACGATTAAAGCACTAAATAAGACGCAATTCGTCATTTTTAAGTTTTGTTTACGGTTTACGCTTGTGGGGAGCAAACGGTATAGACGGCAGTGCGGAGAACCTGCGATAAAAACCTTCAACGGTAGAAGCTTACAGGCAATTATGTTATGTTTGGAAGTAATACATTCGTTTTTGCCCTAATTTACTTGAAAGTCGCTGTCAGTAACTAACGACCGATACATTCCAATGCGCAAAGGCCATGGGTTGTGTGGAATCCTCCAATTACCTCTTCACCGTAGAGTCCCTAGATGCAGTAAACAGGACCTTGTGGTTGGGAATTGAAGGAATCAAAATTGCCTCCACGCCAGCGCAGTGCTGCAGAGTCATAAGCGCGGCAGAAGGGATGTTGCAGCAAAAATCCACCCATTGAGCGCACAGAAGGCATCTAGGGCCTACCTTTGTCACATCTTGAGGCCGAAAAACAAGCGCGACGTTACGGTCCCTGTTTGTATGCATCTGTGCTCCTAGCGAACCTTGCAGCGTTCCTCATGAGCAGGCTTTGAGAAAGAGAACATTTGGAAGTAAGGTTGAAATAAAGGAAATGAACAAATTGTCCAGCGCGTGTAATGACTCGCTGAGGTCCATGTTGTTTCACTAGTTTGGCGCGCAAGTTACAGGTCGATCATTTTTAAAAAAATCATTTCGCTCGGTGCCGTAGCCAAGCGATATGTTTGTCAACTATGTCTGTGATTTGATCTGAAGGCAAAGCGGGCAACTTACAGTGAGCTTACTTTGGTGGGTAGAAATTACACAAACCCGATGTCGTACTTCGATGGGGTAGGCCATGAATGTGGTTCACTACGCACCTAGCTGTCATAGTTTAATCCATATAATCTTTGTAAAAGATAAGCATTGGGCCCTTACTGCTATCCACAATCGCGACCACTTCAAGTACAGAATGCTTTGTGCTCAGGCTGACCGTTTCCAGGTAAAAATGAGGTTATCCTTGCAAAGAATTCTTGTGTTAATTGCACTACATATAATGATGTTTGCTCGACAGGCAATGTGACTTGCGACCGCCATATCCTGACGAAACTGGTTGCGAAGCTACTCTGCAGAGATAACTTCTCGAAACGTAGCTTGCTGCTTTGCATCCGCTGTCTTTATCTTAATGTCACGACGACGTGTCAGGAAGTTGTATGCAATCAGCCTTTCGGTAACGAGTGTCCCGTTCAGTTACATGCAATTCCGCAAAACGCCACAGACAAGCGGTTTGTACCGAAAAGCCCAACCAGCTTATATACTGCATCCCCGATTGCTTCCTCCGAGGCCGACTAATATTTTACGCGATGCAAGGAGCAGTACAGGTAAGTACTGTCACCTGGGACATACCCATAGCCTTACCCTTTCAACTGTGGAGAGCCGCAGCAAGACATACGAACAGCTTCCCGTAAAATTAATTGTTCACAACCCATATCGCTCATATTCAGTTTACTAGCATAATATTAGACATGAAAGGATTGTCGGCGAGTGTCCGTGTATGACTCGCATATCACCGACACTGCATCCTTACGAACATCGTGAGGATGCAGCACCTGAGGATATCACCCACACGCTAAATTCAAGGTGAAGATTAAAATTAAGGCATAAAGAAACAGTCGATCCTTTACACTGCATAGTCCCTTATTAAAGGTAAATTCTATCACTGCCAAGGTGGAACGCGGTCGAGTGAAATTTATCTCAAGGAGACCCATATATGATTTTTGACTGCTGAACAAAAGCAATTATTTACAGAGCCAGCAGAACTCCCCCCGGCGGTGATAAAACACCACTTCCATCAGCCGACGTCTGGGACGTCGTCGCGACTGCCAGAATCTTCCGCCTGCACAACGCCACAAACCAAATCTGAAACGTCCGTAACAGATCATCCCCCACTTCCATCCTCGGCAAGCTGTACAGATTGCCGTTTGCTTTGGTTTTCCATGCAACCTGGAAGAACTCTCGTATTCTTCACTACACGCTCCCCTCGAGAAAGCTGCAATCAGCTTCTCAACCGCCGTCCCTTCTGTTCATTAGGTACCACTCCAAGTCTCCACCCACCCCCCGAAAGGCGGACTGACAGCTTTTTCGCCGCGGTTCGTACGGGCCGAGTCAAGGGGGGGTCAAAGGGCGGCGGCTACGGGTACCGGTACACAGCTCCCCGTGAAAGAGCGGGGCACAGATTGCCGGGGGGGGGGAGAGAAAACCGCGGAAAACACGTTACTCCCCTCCTAAGGTAACCCGCCCCACTCTCCCTCTCCCCCTAACTTCCAGAGTAAAACGTGAGAGCCACAGACGCAGCAGGAAAAGGACGCTATGAACTATGTCGACACAAAGCATCCACACCGCTTTGACGTTTTGTCGCATAACGCTCTTGCCTTGGCCGCGCTATTGTGTCTTATGCAGCAGGGCCACGCAAGGAAGGCTGGAAGGTCAGGGGCTTCCACCGCAGCCGGCTGACTGAGCTCCTGGAGCGACTGGTACAGAACCGTTTAATGCCACAGCTGTGCAGCAGCATTCTGACATGTGACATCTCTCCTCCTTTCCCATTTCACTCTCCGTCACCGGCCCTTGCTTAGATAGGTCACTCTAGGTCCGTTTCATCTCGTTTGCTGACTTTCAAGAGGAGGAGAAAAACAATAGGTGCCCACGTACATACACGCCCACACGTACATACACGCACACACACACACCCATGGCGAACACAATCTTCCTTCCATGCACATTTGCAAGGCCGACAGGAACAGCCGAAATGCGAGGTACGGAAGAAGTACGGTACGCTAGGATATAGGCGTTTAGTCGGGCGAAGCAGTTCCGCAAATCCTCGCGCACTCCTCACCTCACTTCGCCCTCCCCCCATCTCCTTGTCTTCTGCCAAGTCCTTTCATTGCCGTCCTGAAGCGACCCCGCTCGGCCGCACACATGCGCACACGTACACAGACACACAATGTCCTTGAACCCTCCTCCCTGCCCTCTAGCCCTCCAGCAACGTGCGCTCTGTCGACAGGCGTTCTGTTTCAGGTATCCAGGATGCTCATCCCACCCTGTCATTCGTGCAGTAGCCCCAAGCTCCAATCCTAACGTCCTTACAAGTGGTTTCTAGCCAAGGGCTTTGAGTCGTTGGTTGCGGTCCATGTCCGAGAAGCCGGTTCTCTGTACTAGGCAGGGAGTTCCTTCTGCCAATCTGTCCGTCCTCCCGTCTTTAGATACCGGGGTTAGGGTTATCTTTGATACCACGGTTACGTTGTGTCGTTGCAGCTAACGGCCCTCCATGGCGCTTTCCCTTCCCGACACCCTCCCGAGCAAAATACACACCTGGTACGACATACTGCGTGTACGCATGCCCGTATGTGTATAAGCCCTCTATGACCCCTGACCCCACACTATGCGGGTACACTCCTTCCCCTCCATCCCCGGCTCACCGGGGACCAATGCACGTGACCCTAGGTGCTAGACGGGGCGATACAAACCAAACCAACCAGCCCTAAAAACCTCAAATCCCCAAAGCTCTTAATAGTGGGCTTAAACCCCTCTCGCTCGCTCGCTCTCTTTCTTTCTCTCTCTTCCCTCCGTGCGCGTGCGTGTGTGTGTGTGTATGTGTGCACGCGCGTGCGTGTACGTGTGTGTGTGTGTTGTTGTTGTTGTGGGGGCCCCCGGAAATCGCTCAAGTGGGAGCCCTCGTACCCACCAGCAACCACCGCCTGCTGCCCATGCGGCGGTCTTCAGCTTGCCACCAATCTCGCTCCCCTCACATGGGACATGACCTCCCCCAGCCAGCCAGCCACAGCCAGCCAGCCATCTGCTGCAACGGCGAATACCCGACGTGACCAAACCGTGCCGCACACACACAAATACATACACACACATTTATTCACGCGCACACACAACCCACTGCTCTTCAACCACCATCGCAATCACAACAACCGTACGTACCCGCGTAATATCACGAAATCCCCAGGTTCCCCCCACTGTGCCCGACGATCCCATCCCTCAACCCCCCAACTTCTCCACGGGTTGTTATTGTTGTCGTCGTACTAGAGTGGTGTTGGTGGTGCAGCCGTGTTCTATTCTCTATGCTCTAAACCCTAAACTCCCGTCCAGGGCATCTCCCGACGAGCGAGAGAGCTAGAGCGCTATACAGTAAAGCCCCCGGGGTGGTGACGACTCAGCTGGCTGGATAATACTCTTGCTGATTCCCCCCTACCCTCCTGCCCACCAAACTCCCGCACCACATTCCTCAGCCGTCCTCCTGATTGCCTTTTTTCCTCTTCTTCGCCCCTGGAGGCAGGCACCCATCTATCCACTGCAGGCCGTGGAGCACGTGGCGTCCCATCGAAGCAACTTGGCGGCCTAGGTGGAAAGTCGCAACCGGCCAACAGACTGACAGAAAAAGACGCGCGGCGCCGCGCCGCGCCGCGCCGCGGGAGGTTTCCAGCGCGAGGCTTCTGGCGGTGTAGCTGTTGCTGCTGCAGCTGCTTCTCATGCTGTTGCATGTTGCAGGTGCAGCTTCTAAATCAAAGTCGAACGACATGGCTACTGGTGGTGGTGGTGGTGTTCGCGGTGCTGCTGGCCCGCGTCCGCTAACGTGGTGGTCCATCACCGCTGCTGCTGGTGCTGCTGTCTACTGCTGCTGCTCACGCGGCTGTAATTATGTATGTATGTATGCATGCGTGCGTGCCGAGTACGGCCATACCAGCCAGTCACGTACACGGTCCAAGGCGGAGGAAGAAGGTGCAGGCCATGCCACGCAACAATTAGTACGAGCGTCCCCCAGGACCAGTGGGAGGGTGGGTGAGGTGGGGGCCCTAGGTGGCGGCGGCACGTCCAAGAGCACCACGATGGGACGGAAGCCGTGTGTGACCCGAACCGCTTCACACCGCTGCACTGCGCTGCACGGCCCCCGCACCCACACCCACGCCCACACCCACGCCGCGCCCCGCAGCAGCAACAACTGCCCTGCCCTGCCCCCATCCCTCCAGCCAAAAATCGGCGATCTGTGCCACGTGGCATTGGCCGCGTGCCGAAAAACATATAAGCGGCAAGAAGAGCGGGTAAGTAATTGTGGTGGCGGCGGCTACGGTATGATTGTTGTTGCCGCTGCTTCTGCTTCCGCTGCCTGGCAGCGGCGGTGATGTCCGCAACAGCAGCAACAACGACAGCAAGGTATCCTCACAAGAAGTAGTCCGGCGCAGCGCGTTTTGACTGGATACCCCGGACCTCCTGAGGTGCCGCCTCGAACACCTGTGTATGTATGTATATGTGTTTTGGGAGGGGAAGGGGAGGGGCACTTTTCGGGGGAGGAGGAAAGGGAGTTTGTTGAGGGTTAGGCGGACGGAGAAATTTCGGACAGAGGGCTAGCCGGCACTTCAGACAACCACCACCCTCCCCGCCACCTTGCCAGCCACCACGATGGATGACTTTTGTTTCCGCACATCACAACATCAGGGCAGGGGTCGTGCCGCCCTACCCCGCCCTCCCCGCCCCTGCACCACCGGGAGCCCCACCCCACTTTCACTACACGATTCCGCCACCCCTCCCCGCCACCCCTCCTGCACCTTGTAGTTCTTCCCAAGGTGCTCATCCACCTCCATAATGGCCGCCACGTTCCCGCATCTGCACGCGCAGGAACACAAGGAAAACGTACCGACAAACAGATGGACCGACGGGCAAAGCGACAGTAAGTGGCAAGTATGTCTGCATGGAGGTCTGCTCAGACATCCATTGCCTGCTTGAAGTACAATAGCAGTAGCGCTCCACCCCGCCAATTCAGACACACACATGCACATATGCACATGCACACACACATATACACACACGCATACATACACACAAGCCACCGGCAGCAGCAGCACAACGCGGCAGCTCCCAACCGCTAAGAGAATCCCTAAATCCCCAGATTCCAAACCAGGATTTTCCTGACCGTTCCTCTTTAACTATCTAAAACCCCACAAGCAGCACCATTCGCAGTAGCAACAGCCGTAGTGGCGCTACATCAGCTACCGACCGCAAACAACCAAAAAAAACCTTTACAACAGCAACGCCCCGGCCTCCCCTTACACACGCACACGCACACACACCTGTAGCAGTAGTTCGGTGCCGACCAGACCGTCACCAGCTTTTCGTTGAACATGGTCTTGTAGCCGTCCATCACCAGCTGGTGTGCCCGACAAATCAGGTCGATCTTGTTGGCATCTGTGAAGGCGCGGCACACGTCGGCGCCGAACAGGAAGCCGGCGCCGCGGGGAGACAGACCCCAGCCCTCGATATCCTCGGGGTCGGACCACAGCAGGTCGCACATGGCGCCGTCGTGAGGGACCTCCTGCTTGCGGTCTATGGTGCGGATCTGACGTGGAAGACAGACAGGATACAGTGGGGGAGGAAAGGGGGAGGGAAGGGGAAGGGGAGGAGGGAAGGGTTAAGACGAACCACAGACAAGCGGAGCTGACACCAGGGATAGACGGATGGATACTGCATCAGGAAGTTGTTAGAAGCTACCAAACAGTGGCGACTTGGGGGGGAAGGGAATGGAGGGGGACAGGGGAGGGGGGAAAGGGGAGGGGAGGGGAGAGGGGCAAGCCATGTTTGGAGGCAGATGGGGGTTTCGGTCGGTTGAGGTTAAGACAAACCACAGACAAGCGGAGCTGACACCAGGGATAGACAGGTACTCCATGAATAGACGGATGGATACTGCATCAGGAAGTTGTTAGAAGCTACCAAACAGTGGCGACTTGGGGGGGGGGAAATGACGGGGGGAAGGCGGAAGGGAAATCATACGAGAGGAAAGGGGGAAAGACGAACCACACACGATTGATGCTGCTGCCAGGAAAGGGGGAAAGCGCAAGCGGAGGGAGGGCAGGGGGAATATGTGCGAGGTGCAGTCGTAAAATCCGGGAGGGGGCCCGTGGACTGGAGTCCAATGGGCAGGGAGAGGAAGGAAGAAGGAGGGAAGGGGACGATGGGCACGATGTGGTATGTATGTATGTATTTATGTATGTATTTATGTATGTATTTATGTATGTATTTATGTATGTATTTATGTATGTATTTATGTATTTATGTATGTATGTATGTATGTATGTATGTATGCATGCATGTGCGTGTGCACCTGTGCCGCGTCCCGCCAACCTCACCCCCAACCCAACCCGTGGGCACGCCTCCCCTCGCGGGCCTTACCTGATCGAGTGTGGATATGGTGGGCGACAGGCCTCCATGTACGGCAAATATGGAGTTGTCAATGACCGCGGAGAGACTGCGAGCATGCGCCAGAACAAATGAGGATGATGCGAATGTTGATGACGTTGACGACGACGGAGTAGAGTAGTGGCAGGTGGCAGGGGCTTGGCAATCGACAAAACGCCGAACGAGAGAAGACAGTGCTACCACCACCCTCCACCCTTCATGGCTGGGACCACCGTCCGCGGTAATTGGCTCCACCCCCCTCACGTACACGCGTAATACATGATCTGGTCTAGAGACACTGCTGCAATTTGCGGTTTACGGTCCTGGGTTAGGCTCGTGGTCGACCTTCCACATTGCCGGGAGCATGAGATTATGGCTAGCTGCTGAGATGTGGAGGTTGAGGTCACAGTCGATGGACCGAGATTCGCACGCTGGATTGGTGGTGATTGCTGAACGTTTCTGTCTTTACGGATGTCCCGGTGAGAGAATGAAGAGGGCTTTTCTAGATGGCAGAATCAACCGCTTTGGACTTGCAGTTCGGGTATGGCGTCGTACAGTGTGGTAATGGTGGATGGTGCTGTACGGAGTTCAATCCTAAACATGACAATCCAAATGTGTCCAATTGGCCCGGAAGCCTCCCCATCTGTAACAACAACATGATACATACATACATACATACATACATGCATGCGTCGCTGAACTAAATTACTCATGTACCTCCTCGGCAACAATACCTGGCCGCGGCGGTTCAGATCTTATAAAGGTGCATGCCAGTACACACACACACATACACACACACGCACACATACATACACACATACATACGAAGCCCCCGTAAGGGAGACCCCTCCTGTAGTGTCGAGCGTGTGGAAACCCCAGGCGACCCACAACACCAGTGCCTGCAAAGGTGTCCATTTGGTCCCCCTTTCTCTTCCCGCCTCTCCCTGAGAGTGAGCTCACTAGGCCGTGCCCCCATACTGCTACTGCTACTTACTGCTGCTGCTCCTCATACTGCTGTTCCCGGTGTTCATGCTACTGTCCTTTTGTAGTAGTTGTTGTTTTATTGCTACTGCTGCTACTGAGAACGCCGCGTCCCTTAGCGCGAACATCCCCTTTGCGGACCTCCGCGCCTCATAAAGGGGTTTGGCTGCTTGCGTGCAGCAATCGGTCAGGTCGTAGCCGGGCCCGATTAGTGGTATATCGTACTATAAGTTGAGAGAAACATTGCAACGGGTAACCCCCTTCCTTCTCCCTTGTCTTCCTTGCCCTTGAAACGGGGCAACGCGCAACACGCTGGGCAAGGAAATCCCGTTCCACAACCCGCTTCCTATCCCCTTCCTCCCACTCCACAACTCTGCAACCTCAACAACCCCAACGTTTCCCAGGGGGGTGCGTAGTTAGCCGCGGACTTAATGGATGCATTTGAAAGGAGGGGGAGAGAGCGATTCAATTCCCCAATTCCCCAAGCCAAGCGTGGCTTAAGGATTTTTGCGGCGGTAGCCCGGACGTCGTGAAACTTGCCTTAGGTAGTCAAATACGTCAGTGCAGTACCGCCATACGTTGACCGAGCCGTACTTCCGCAAGCACTCGTCGTAGAAGCCGTACACCTTGGGAAAAGAGGCGTTCAGGCAGGGATTCAGGTAAACAGCCAGGTAGGCAGTCATGGAGCAAGCTGCTGGAAAGTTGAAAGGACGGGACGCTGACGGCACTTGGCGATGGCGGGGTTGGGAGTCATATGCAAGCAGCGTAGATTTAGACCCCGCCAACGGAAGCGCCAGAGGAGTCCAGGTTCTAGAGACCAGACGCAGACGCGGAGGAAAAAAAGATTGTGAATGCAAACGTGGATGCTGCAAATGTGGCATTGCCACCATCTGCTGTTACCGAAACTAGCACAACCTGCCGTGTCTGCAACTCTGCAGCTCAATCAGCAGCCAGTCCCGACCCATGCTAAAGAATTACATACCCCTTGGAATCCGACTTCCGATATTCCTCCCTCCCTCCGCGCACCCGATCCTTGCGTCTTGGCAGAGCACCGGGCCCTGGCTCTGGGCCTCAGGACCCATGAAACCCCAAAACCATACCCCAAATCCCGGCCTTGATGAAGACATACCCATAAGGCACAGAGTGCAGCCGCCCTCCCACCCACCAGCCCACTCAGACTACTCCCTTCGAAAATTCACTATGCAACACCACCTCCTCCTCCTCCCAGTTCCCTGTTCGGGGTGCAGGTGAGTACGACACCCCCCTCATCCCCACCCCGCCGGACACCTCCCTCGCTCCTCCACCCCCTCCCCCCGACCCCTCATCCGTCCAGCCAGCTCGCCCAAGGGCAGGTGTCCACGCGTCCTCCCTCCTCACCTACCTGCGTAATCTGCCGGCTTTCATGGTTGCCCCGGATCAACGTGATGCGGTCGGGATACCGAACCTGCGAGTTCGGGGGTGAGTTAAAATATAAGTACACACATGCATATAGACATGACATGATTGGACAGTAGGTCACGGATGTATTGACGGTGCTCAGGGGGGACGCGGATGTATGTGCGAAAGACGCACGGAATTTGAAAATGCCAGCGGCATGAGGGGCTTAGCAGTCTTGGCCGCCTTCTAAGTGAGAAGTCGATGCATCCGATATACCTCTCAGCTGTCAAACGTGCCATGCTTCAGCTCACGCTTGATATCCTGTTATGGTATGCGGTGGGTTCTGCTGGGTCGCACAAATCTCCAAATTTCCATTGTCGCTCTTGTGGCTCTTAACCCACGCTGAAACCCCCTCCATCCCTACCCCCAAACCCAGGGTAAAGCCAAGGCTTCAGGCAATTAAAGCAGCCGCCTTCGGGGCCCATTTCCGCCATTGGGGGCATCCCATAAGAATGGCGCTGCGCCGCAGGTATGACCTCCTTGCAAGTAAAGCCTCGTGCGCGGCTACGAAAGGACCGTAACCCCCTCAGCATCCCGCAACTCTGTGCGCGCACGCACCTTTAGTGCGAGTAGCAGCAGAAATGTTTCAACGCTGTAGAAACCCCGATCCACGAAGTCACCCATGAAAAGGTAGTTCCTGCGGCAACACCCGAGGCCATAGGTTTGCTACCCACTTCATGGGGAAGGTCCAATAGCTGCACCGATTTTGCAGCTGATTTATATGGTGGGTGCAAAGTGGGCAAGTGTTATCTCCTCGGGACGAGCAGGAGAGGACGTCGTTCCGGGCAAGCGCAGCCATCCCGCAGTGCTTTCCCCCACACGCCTTTACAGGCGGCAAAGTGCAAGCCATTGCTTACGTCATGGGGCAATCTCCTCCAACTTGGAAGAGCTCCATAAGATCATAAAATTGGCCGTGTATATCGCCGCCTGCAGATAGACGCAAGCAATGTCAGCGAACCGGCGTGCCTGGCTGTTTATGAGGCGTCTGATGCACGTTGTCGTTCCACAGGTAGCGCCCACCCAACATTCAACAAATGTTAATATGAACCAGCACAGGGTTGCGCGGGAACTTGCGACATGTGCACCAGACGCGTTACTCACAAACTGTCACCGGAGCATCCACACGCTGAACGTTGCTCTCCTCTACTAATATCTCCAGGGCCTTCTGGCAAAGAGTCTTCACGTCCGACTCTTTTAGAGGCTCGCACTTCTTCAGCTGCTCTATCCACCGGTCCAGCTCCGATTGCCCCGCCATACCGGCCAATGGCAGCAACTTCCCAGTAATTAGCTGGTCGTTGCGGCTTGTCAAGCTGCTGCAGTCGCCTCAGCGCCCCGTGAATTCGGCGCCAAGGGCGCCAGCGCGCCGCAAGGACCTGGCTAATGCCGACAATATGTCAATACGTATGCATGAATAGCAGCTACGAGGATGAACCTTGCAGATAAGGTAAAGTGCTGTCCCGTGGATGGCGTTCCAGTCAGCCAACAGATTATAAGGAAATTACCGATGGCTAAATGCAACCAATCAAGTAAATGCTTGACAGTGTGGGAGCTACTAACTTTGAAGTACCGGCGCTTGTCTTGTAGACATAACAGCCGTGGCCATGCTCCCCGGTCTAGGCATTTCGTACTACCCGCTCTTGTGTGGTGAGTTAGCTGTAGGCTGTTGATGCATGTACAAGCCGCTTTGAGGAAATAACCCTTACCCAAATTGAGCGTGTTATCTTCCTCCGATAAGTGCGACGAGTCTCTTGCTGAACACCGCATAACAGAACATTGCGAGTGCTGACACGTAAAGCCGTGCAAGTACCCAAAGTATTCACCTAGACACATGATACGTTTGGGCTGCCTGGCTATTGTACGAGACTTCTGTTGCTCCCCCACGCACACGCACATGGCTTAGACGCGCAGGCTGTCCTAGTCTGCGTCACTCGTGAGCTTGGGGATTGCTCGCTGGGGTCAACCTTGTTTGCCCCTGGTGTCCACTACAAAGTATCAAAGGCGCATGACCAACTAGAAGTTGGTGTACGGCTTTTCACAGTGATAAGGATGACACGGTCGTCCTTCACGCGTGCCGTGGTCAACAATGGACGCAAGACGGGTTTCAGGCATCGGGCTGGCCCATACCCGTGTCAGCCCCGCTTGATATTGACATCAACTTTTCCTTCCCAACACTCGCTATCGCTTGACCAGTTACCTTAGCCTTACAACGGCCTGACGCTTTGCACGTTACTGCCGTAACGAACCACCTGAGGCTGGACTGCAATAGCCTGCATATGGCGACAAAATGCCTTTAATTACCATCCACTGTCATGGACGTGTGGAGCTGTGTCTCGGTTGTATGATACTGCACTAGATGCCGCAAAACTGCAAAGCCTGTGAACCGTCGTCGGATGGTTATGCCTCTCCATTTTCGTCTGTTGGAATGTGAATAACTTTGTAGATCCGGCACGCTACCTGAACTTGCACATGAAAACTAATTTGGATGCATATTGCGAGTCGAGTGGTTGTCGGCGCTGTACAGCAGTCCAATCCTCAGTAAAGGTCTTTCGCTCCTGAAGCGAAGTCTTTGTGCGGAAGAAGTCGCGATCCCACAATATTTACCAAAAGTCTCTGACTCAACGGTTTGCTCCTGAAAGTTCCAGTCCATAAAAATGCTTTCGCAGCAGAGAGTGGTGATGCCAAGGCAGCCCGGCGCCTTCCGCTCAGGTGCGTGCGTCTTTAATTAACAATCCGATTTGGAACGACCGAATAACCTTGATGCCATGGCCGTAATACGAATGGCTTCACGCTGATGGTGTGCACTTGCACACTTACAGGGAAGGCAGTCGCGCGGCCTGTTCGGCGTCCGATTATTAAGGTAAGAAAGAGCTGCTGTGTTTGGATGGGAAAACGCGGTAAGACGAGTTGGTAAGACGAGGGGTCCCAACCCATGTGCCGCCCAGACGACTGCGATGCTGAAGGTGATGATCAGCGGCGCGCCTGCTGCTGGAAAGGGAACTCAGTGTGCCAAAATTATTGACAAGGTGCGACGGCAATAGGGAATTTCCATACCCTCCTGAAACCCCAAATGGACGGTGCTATGTGACGCTCCGCCGAATCGCTGTAGCTATGCGCAGCATGCAATATTTACATTTAATTACTCTGTGCAGTACAACTTGGTACATATTTCGGTGGGTGATATCCTCCGTGACGAGGTAAAGAATGGCACGGCTGCGGGCAAGAAGGCGAAGGACTTCATGGACCGGGGCGTGCTGGTCCCAGACGAGGTGGTCGTGGAGATGGTAAAGTCTCGCCTGGCTCAGGACGACGTTAAACAGCGCGGCTGGCTGCTGGACGGCTACCCTCGGAGCGCGTCGCAGGCGGAGGCCATTGAGAAGGAGGGCATCCGACCGGATCTTTTCCTCCTCATCCAGGTAGCTCGCACCTGGCAGGCACCTGGTTCCCGAAACTGGATCGGGGGAATCTAGGCATACCTTGTTGGTCAAATCACACCCACACCGGGTAACGGTTTTCAGCATAATCAAGCCTGGGAAGTCGAGCTTAAGAAGCGCAGCAGACACCGAAACCAAGATTCGGAAGACCAGCCCTGCAGCGGAGTCGCGTCACAGAAGCATATGTCCCTAATTCAATAGAACAACCTAGATGTCAGCAGTCGGCCGCTTCATGGCATCCTGCAGGATTGCGCTTGACCCAGATGGCAACGCTAACTGGCCAGGGCTGTGCCACTTCAGAATCTTGGAGCCGCAATCTGGGTTTTCATGGGATCGATGCGCAAGGGTGCAGCACCCTTCTTAGCCGCATTTTCGATCGGGCCCCCTATTCCCCGCTGTGCTCGCGACTGGGTTCTGCGTTGTTTGCGTGGATCCTTCAAGGTACCTGCTGTGTTAGTTCTGGCGTTTCGCTGTCCTGTCCCGGCCACCGTGGACCCCATGACCGTCACCGTGTTGGGAACACCCATATACAGGTGCCGGATGAACTTCTTGTGGAGCGGGTTGTCGGGCGACGCCTGGACCCTATGACTGGCGCCATCTACCACCTCAAGTACAACCCGCCGCCACCGGAGATTGTTGGTCGTTTGCAGCAACGCAGCGATGACACAGAGGAGAAGGTGGGAACAACATAATGCTGATGCCTAAGCGCTGCTCTCCCAGGAATGTGGAAATACCACATCATCCCTGCCTCATGGAGCGGCGTGCGGCAGGCGCCAAAGGGGGAAACCTGATTCTTTGGATTGGGTACAGGTCCACCTCGCTGCCGCGCACAAGGCCCTCCTCTGCATTCATTGCGGGTGACTTGTCTGATGTGTCTCTGGGGGCCTGTCAGTTTTAACGTCCCTGTTTCGCTGGAATTCGTAGCCATTTCGCCTGGCAAGGTTAGTTGCCTCCGGCGCCTCCAATCCGTTGCCAAGTCCGCTGCCGGCCGTGTATCCTGTTTACTCTTCTCTCGAATCTCTTCTCGCACCCCCTTATCGCAGTGCCGCGTGCGTGTGGATACCCACAACGCCAATGTGGGCGCCGTGGTGGGCTACTACACGGACGTCATGAAGGAGGTGCGTAGGCAAACCGTTTTCTCACGACTACATCTTTTAAGAGTGTACTCATTGCTACAACTTTAGTAGAAGTACAGGTTGTACGGCAAGGTTTCGAGAGGGTTTCAGGGTTGGGATTGGGAGGTACTGCAGTGCTTGCCGTTGTGGACAGGGTGGTACAGGGTCAGCTTCAGATCATATGTTTATGGGGTTGGTGTCCATCATCATCATCATCATCATCATCATCACCATCATCACCACCGTCATCATCATCATCATCATCACCATCATCATCACCGTCACCACCATCACCACCATCACCACGATGGTGGTGATCGTCATCACCATCATCACCATCAACACCATTAACACCATCACCATCAACACCATTAACACCATTAACACCATCAACACCATTAACACCATCAGCACCATCAACACCATCGTCATCAGCACCATCATCATCAGGAAGCCCTGTGGGGGATGTTTGGGAGTCCACCAGACGTCTTGAGGGGTCTCGCATCTCTTAAGACAAGTAGGAGCCTTTCGAATGGGGGACAGATTGGTAGTTTTCATCCGTGGCAAGGAGGGCGCGGGAACAGTACAGTTACGCGCTGCTGGTGGTCATACATGGGCGCTCTCCTTCGTTCAGTGTGGGTTTGTATTGACCAGATTCGATGCGAATCCAGACAGTGGCTTAACGGTATGCCAGCCGAAGCTGCAACAGGTGTGTGCAGCAGGTGTGGCGAGAACCAAGAGCTTCCTGCTGCGGGGCTCTCCCACAAGCAGCTTTCTTTTCCCACCCGCATAACAGTGCTGCTTTGGGTCCTGTGCGACTGCTGTGCACTGCCTGACATACGATTGGATCCTGCTGGGATATGTATTGTGATCTGAATTCATCCCAAAGCTTGGATTAATCCTCCCTGAACTCCTCCCAACCCAAATCCATGAATTTCAGATTGATGGTACCAAGTCCATGGACGCGGTGTTCCAGGACATCTCCGCTGCTCTGGACGAGGTTATCACTAAGAAGGATCCCCTGGAGGCGTACTGCAAGGACGCACCGGCGGCCGACGAATGCAGGGTTTACGAGTGAAGGGCGTGCGAGGGGGAGACTGTTGCATGGAGAGTTGGTGATTCTTTCGTGTCGTGAGTATTGCCAAGATGACGATATAAATTTATTGTCGTGCAGGGATTTGGTTATCCTGCTGAAGCAGGCTGGGCAGAGGTTCTAGCTTACGCGAGGGGCAGGACATGGAGTGTACGACTGTTTTTTCGGACCATCGGCATGGACTCTGTGTTCCCACAGCCGTTGATCGACATTTGACCTTACAAATAAATTATTTGGCGGTCATTGCGGTGCACCACGGATTTGTATTGCGAATGGTGCCGACGGATGGTGCAAAATTACACGTCGGCAAGCATTATTCGGTATTTTTCGTGCCGAACTTGTACCGAATTTCGGTACTGAAGTGCCGTACCCTAGTCGATCCTTTGCTTGAAGAGATAAGCTCGCTGGCCGCAAAAATACAGGGACAGAAATGTCCCCCAGGTCCCCACCCCCATCGGCTAGGTTTGCTCGACAAGTCTGGACATGGCTTCGGTCACACGCTTTCTTATTGCCATGTGCGCCGCGCAGCGAACATAGGACGAAGACTACCGTTTACTACAGGCAGCAAGCTAGCAACGATAGTCGACTCGAGCACATATTCAGGATAAGACCTAATAAGTAAAAGGGTCTTGTGTGGCGCGTAGCGTATGTCAGAAACGAGGCCGCCCCGCAGCCGAAGAAAACCTGCGAATCGCTGCGAAGGCTATCAACTTAGAGCCCACCATCAAACCGCGCATCTTGTTGGGAAAGCTCAGAATGTGAAAATACCTTAACCGAGTCCAGGTCCTGAAAAAAAACATAGTTAATATGTGGCTGGTCGAGAGTTTTAATTCTGAGAAGGAAAAAGAAGAGTTCCAACGTATTTGACAGCTTTGAGCACAAACGGGGGATAAGCAAATTACCAGGTGGTACGGCAACTGTTTGGAGAACATAGTCGACGACAGTATGCAGAAGCCATTCTATATTGCAGCTACACGCGGCTTAGCCTGTCATACCAATTCATATTAACTACTACCTGTCCTACAGCTGACTGCTGAAAGAACTGCGCCGGGACCGCCCGGCCGCGTAGGCAAAGATGATTCCGCCGTTGACATCGCTTGTTAGATATGATAATCCCGTCCTAGTTAGCACAAGCAAAGATAAGGGAAAGGGTGCAAAAGGGGCGCCGGGCAAGAAGGTTCGCATGCTAAGCGCTTCGAGGACTACATGGAGCAAGTTTGACGACTGACTGATGTTTGCAGGGTGCCCTTCCTCCAGTTGAACAAAAGCCAGGGCTTACCCAGACCGAAGATATTCTGAACTCGATACTGCCTCCAAGGTGCGTTGCCGCGCCACTCCATGTAACGCGACGCAGCCTGTTCCGTAATGTCCACCAGAATGCCAACACAGGGAGTGGACCGAGGATGGCCAGCTTTGGGTGCAATATGTGTCGAGCACACCGGCGACCCGGCTGGACGTCATCAATTTGCAGGAGAAGCTGGACCAACAGCTGCAGCAGCGCCAGGTACGTTGGTAACCTCGCGACATGGTAAACATTGGAAGCTAATGCGACCTGGCGAATTTGCAGGCCCGCGAGACCGGTATCTGCCCTATTCGGGAGGAGTTGTACGCGCAAACCTTTGACGAGCTCATTCGTCAAGTCACCATCAATTGCGCGGAGCGCGGTCTCTTGTTGCTGCGAGTGCGTGATGAAATGCGCATGACAATTGCCGCATACCAGGTGTGTGAAAGATGGGGGGAAGGGGGGTTTCGGTTCGTACCAGACTGTCTGGAGCACCGGACAAACAGCTAAACTGGATCTCCATGTCCTCCAACCCTCCAACGAGGCTCGCACGTTAAGCTGGGCAAATTGAACTCCCCCAAAACGCTGTGTATGGATCCGTACATCCGCTAGAGCGCAGCTGATAGTTCTGGATTTCCTACACTGCACGGTGCCCAGCACGGAAGCCCTAATGCCCTTCTTGGAGCAACAAAGTATGATCCAGTAGTGTTGCATGGCCTAACATGCTGGAGGGGTGTCCACTTGCGACGTGCAGACCCTATACGAGAGCGCGGTAGCATTTGGCATCCGCAAAGCCTTGCAGACGGAACAGGGCAAGAGCGAGATGGAGTCCCGGATTACACAGCTGGAGGCGGACGTTAAGGATCTCGAGCGCCAGGTGGGGCCTGCAGCAGTCTTGTTGGGTGGAGCATGTTGAGGCTGCTTTTGCTCTAGGGAACACAAACGGCGTGACCAAAACCAGCTCTGTACAGTGGGCAGTGCATCCTGTGAAGGCTGAAATGTGATGATGGGAGTTAATCCTGCTAGCGGGAGGTGCTGATGTCGAGCCCCGTCCGTCGACGCTGGAAATTGACTTCTTGGGCTGCGGGATAAGGAGCTCTCTAGTCCACAGCGGGGCAGGAAGCAAGCGAGCACGTTTCGTGGGCTCTGAGCTCACCGCTCACATGCCCTCTCTTTTATAGCCCGGCGTGCACAGACGAAATAGGTGAACCCAGCCTGGACGTTTGAATAGAGCGAGGCGGAGCAGGGCGGCGTCAGTAGCATGAGAAGCACATGGGGAAGGGTTTCAGGCAGGTTCCTGGATTGGCGATGCGCTATGGAACATAAGAACACAGGCCCGAAGTTTTCAGTGCCTGCTGTTGCCTGTTGCACTGCCTGGGCCTGCTGCAGGTGCAAGAGTGGAAATTTAAGTGCGAGGCAATTGAGAAGCGTGAGAGTGAGCGCCGCGAAGTTGACGCCAAGAAGCACAAGGACGAGGTGGCGTATCTGGAGAATTACGCCAAGCAGCTCAAGGGGCAATTGGAGACCTTCCTGGTACCGGCAAAGAAGGGCGCGCCGGGCGTGCCGGCCCCGGCCACGTGAATAGTAGATGGCTGAGGATCACGCCGCACGTATGTGCGCGAAAGGGTTAACGCAGCACAGCGGGCGAGTCGACAGCATTTGTGTTGGTGGAATAGGAATGGTCAAGTGCAGTTCGCTTAACAGTACGGGCATTCCATGTGCATTGCTTTGTGTTGTGTATTGTGTAGACTGCAGTGATTTGTCGTGGGAACCGGCGCAAGGGCCCTTAGTCCGACTTGGGCCAGGTGTATGCACCGTGAGTTGTCAAGCTACTCATGTGACTTTTGACTGTGACAGGGCATACACCGACGAATGACATAACAGTTATATTACTACCGCTTGACCGCATGGACGTGCCCTCTGTGTTTACCAGCTCCATTTTGTATACATGCCAATGACTGGACCGTGTTTTAAGTGGTTCTGCGCGTGCAATGTTGTTGCGGAAGGTCTTTGCGCGATGTTCCCGTAGTAGTATTGGTGTTGGTGCGGGCTCACAGCCTGGGTGAGTTCCCAAGGCGCCCCGCATTGCTGTAAAATCTTGTCCTGTAAGCAAACTCACGAAGTTGGCTCTGGCTGCTTCATCCGTCATGCATAAGCCAATCGCTTTTGGTAATTTGTGTTCATGCAAAGAGAATTGGCGGCTGTACCATGCATGTATGGATGCTTCGAACACACACGGGCCTGGGAGACCCGAAATGCTTGGAACATTGCACTCGCGATTCCTCAGCCCAGCCCAGCTCAGCTGCGGTACCGGAAGGCGATCCTCCCAGTACGACGGCAACCCTGCAAGTACCTGCATCCCCAGCAACTGTGATGACCGCCAGGGTGCCCACGCGCCATTGAATGGAAGATGAAGAGTACCTATCGCGGAATCCACCACTCTGATATCTCTCTTCACGTATTTTGCCCTGCTCTGCAGCCGAGCGCTTTGCCCATGTTTACTGCCCTTAGCCCCGTGGAGATTTCCATTACCACATGAACGTGACTCCTACTGCAAAAGCTGTCCGCTGCTCGCTGCCGCCCCAGAGGTTTCACATGTTGCTGCGGCCAGTAGTGTCCAGCAATCCAGGAGCTCAGCCGCATGACCTTCTGTCACAACGCAACAGAGTGCTTCACGTGTCAACGTCCAAGCGTCGATGCCGCTATGCTGGCCTGTCGAACTCACGCCAAGGGCCGTTGCAACCATAGCCTCCGCAGTCCGCGCCCTGCCCTAGTACTAGTACCTCGATAATGCTGCCATCGCCGCCTGAAATTAGACATCAGAAGCACATCCCCCTGTGCCAATATGCAGCCGCCCCTCTAAATCCATCACGTAAATCCACCTTAGTCGGCATCAGGTTTGGTACCGGATATGAGCCCGTCCGCCTTCTTCCTCGTTCTCATCCGCGGCCGCTGATGCTGATGCTGCGCCACGGGCACAGCAGCGAAATGCGCCGCTGGCCCCGTTGGTCCCAGCGAACTGGACGCTGCAGCACCCGCGCCAACGGCAAGGCGTCCTCCGGTCCCGCCCTGGCTAACTCCGTTCAGCGGCACTATCGATGCAGCGGTGGCGGCAGCGCCTGCCAATGCACCGGCAGCGGCAACGCCGGCTGCGGCGCCTGTCTTGGCGCTAGCGCCGCTGGCACCGCTGATTTTTGCGAGCAGCCCCATCGCGGGCTGCACCTTTTCCGCCTTCGTTCGTCTGTCGTACGTGCCGCGTTGCTCGGCCAGGCTGTGGCCCATGTAGATGGCAAGGGCCTAATCGACAAGGTGGCATGGAAGGCGGGTGTGGTGGGGGGTTACAGGGGAGTTTGTGTGTATATGCGGGGTGTGGATGTTACATCGTTAATGGCTCGCGAAACAGACCCACCGCTTTTACCCTTGATGGGCTCAGGGGCTCAGGGCAAAGAGGTCCGACTGTGAAGCTCGAAGTGGTGTTCCCCCCCCAACAATCCTAAAGCATTGATTTGACCCGAATGCAAAGGTGTGAGTTGCGCCTGGGCACCTTATGCACTGGTACAACGCATGTGACATGGCATGTCAGCCCCAAGGTCGCGCCTCATCCACGCCGCATCCCCGCCCGTGCCCAACTCCCGTCCTCCCCCTCCTCCTCCTCCTCTCCTCTTTCCCTCGGGGTTCGGTCCGGATCAAAGCGGGGCGTCCTTCGTTCCAAACACCACTTTGCCCTACCCCCACGCCTGCCTCCCCTTTTGCGCGTCCTCTCCTTTCCTCACCTCCAGCTCGTGCTCGCTGGCGTGGCCGCTCCTGAGGGCACGTGCCACACGGAACACATCACAAATGGAACACAGGATGGGGAGACAGCTTGGACAAAACGGAAACGCAGAAGGGCCCCGGGAATGGGGGCACGACGAGGGCACGACGAGGGCACGACGACGGTGAAAGAACAGTCCCACTGTAGAGAGAACAGTCTTGCAAAGCGCCTGGTGCAAAACCTGTTGCTGCTATTGCTGTTGCTGTTGCTGTTGCTGCTAAAGAGGACTTCAGACGATTCGTCGATGGTCCAATTTCCACAGTGGGATGAACGGCCCGGCCCGCTCCACTTCATTCCTCAATCCGAGCCACAAGCCCGCCCCCCTCCCGAGGGCCCCCCGGGTCTATCACGCGCTGGTCCCGCAATGCGCCCCCCCGGCCCCGTCCTGACCTGGCGTACGTGACCACCATGTCTCGCACCATGTGCGGGTTGAGCTTGCGACCTGTGAGTCGAAATACGTTGAGGGAGAAGGAACGAGACAGCTCCTGAGCCGTCAGGGGCGCGGAGCCGTCACGCCTGTGGTGGGGCCCCGAGGAAGGGGAGGGCAGCGGAGGAAGGCAGGGAAGGTACCGGTATGCTGCAAGTCCATAACAATACAGTGCCTCTGCAGTGACGCCGTACGGCAGCTACTAACACGATGTGGGACGTAATCATGACACCATGCCGTACATACGGGGGATGAAGGTATACGTGGCCTGATACTGGTCGGTAAGCCGCGGTGCAGGGAGCTTTTTAAGTCGCCTGGCCTGCTGCAATCGGCCTATCCAGCCTCGAAATCTCCTCCTCTTCCTCCTCTTCCTCCTCTTCCTCCTCTTCCTCCTCTTCCTCCTCTTCCTCCTCTTCCTCCTCTTCCTCCTCTTCCTCCTCTTCCTCCTCTTCCTCCTCTTCCTCCTCCTCTTCCTCCACGCCACACGTCCCCAGTATCCGCAACCAGCAAGACCAACCGCTAACGACCCCTACTTCGAGAACAGGAAGTTGTGTTGCGGCTTCAGGTGTGCGCGCCATGTGCAGATAAACTCCTGAACGCGGGTGGGGGGAAGGGTGACCGGCAGGCACAGCAAGGGGAAGGAGGGAGGTTCAGGAGACAAAAGGAAGGCTGGCAAGCAAAGTACATACCTACCCCGGCGGCTTCCCGTTGTTGAGCTGCAGTTGGGCGTTGATCGCACCCTTGGGGGGCCCCCGCCATGCATGGCACTCCTCTGCCTCTGTTCCTGGCCCCTGGCTAGTAGCCATCCCCTACTGTACCGTACCGCACCTCCAGTTCGTAGTAGATGCTCGGGTCGATGACCAGCGGCGGCCGCTCTCCGTAGGTGCCCCCCGTCTTGTAGTCCGCGTGCGTGTGCCGAATGGACCAGCTGAGAGGGGGGGGGGGCAGCACAGCGAGGGGGAAGGGGGACACTACTTAAATTAACAAAAGGTAGGCTCCACAGGGAGGAGAGGTTCGGGAGAACGAGCGGGAGCCGCTTACAAAACGAGCCGCCCCGAGCGAGCCCCCACCATCAATGAGGAGCTACAGTTACCTAAGCTTTACGGCCTCGCGAGCAGGAAGCGTTCGTGAAAGCAGCAGCACATAAACCCACATACACATGCATACACACATGCATGCATGCATACAAGCACACAAACACGCACATATTACACATGCACACGCACACACATACACACGCACATGCCGCTCTTGTCCTTGACCAGCGTGCGCCCCACAACGAGCTCCCGTAGAGTGCGCTGCCTGCGGGGGTGGTGGTTTGGGGGGGGGAGGAGACGAACCACGAAGGAACGTGTGAAGCTGACGCCAAGGAGGATAGACTTATACGCCAGAAGTAGGCAAAGAGGTAACTAACCAGTCGCGACTTGTGGAGGAGAAGTCTTCGCGGTAATCCAGTCAGTAACTTCGGGGTTGGGGAGTTGTGCGGGAAGGAAAAAAAGGTGAAGCGGTTTGGGGCTCCATCGCATTTCATCCCTCTCTACTCCCCCCCTACACACACACACACACACACACACACACACACACACACACACACACACACGCGTATATCCCGGGGTGCGACGTCCCGACGTCCCCAACCAAGCTACACCCGCTCTCCCACCGCTTACCCGACCCCACGAAGGTCAAACATCAGGCAGTATCAGGCCGCCCTACAACAGCAGCCCCACCACCACCAGGAGTTGTCCGAGGACTTCCTTCCTCCTCGGGCCCCCCCCGGGGGTTTCTTCATGACGCACCGCCACCGCCGGGCATTTCCCTCTTTTCCCTACTCCTGATCCCAATCGTCAAACCCCTGCCTGCCACAATCCAATCCAATCCAATCCAATCCAATCCAATCCAATCCAATCCAATCCAATACACGCCACGCCACGCCACGCCGCGCCGAGCAAATGACAGGCCCCAGGATCGTCCCCATTCCCCGAGGTTGCGGTCTTAACCCTCACTTCCCCCTCAGGCGCCCAACCCCGGTCCCGCCGAAGCCCAGCCCGATCCAAGGCCTACCGCCCAGCCCCGCTACCCCCGGCCCCCGGGGTCGCAAACTTCCCCTCAGCCCAGCCCCACCTGTCCGGAACGCAGCTGAGTATGGCCGCGATGAGGTAGGCCTGCAGCGACATGGCCACATCCACCGGGCTGCGCGGGCGGCCATTGGACTTGAGAGCTGAGGGGAGGGCGGGGGGAGGAGAGGGGTTGGTTAAGGAACCGGTTGGGTGTTAAGGAAGCGGTGGAGGTGCCGCGGGAGGTGAAGAGTCATGAAGCAGTACATTCGAGCTTTCCCGACTCGACGAGCAATGCGCCCAGGACCAGATACAAGTTACCAGGACCAGATCCTGCTACGACCCGACAGACACGCGCTCGCACAACCCCGCGCCCTAGCCCTAGCCCCAACCCTATCGGGCGGCTCAACCCACCCGTCCTTGCACGCCCGGGTTTGGGCATACCGGGGTTCGCTTTGTTGCTCCTCCTAATAAAAGCATTCACACATACATATACATACACACGTACACAACTAAATACACGCACATGCCCCACTCATACCCCCCCATCTCCCCTACCGGCGCACTCCTTCCTCAGTTCCGCAACGTACTGCAGGTAGTCGGGCCAATCCAACCACTTGGAGGAGGTATCCACGACGTGACCGGAGACCCGAGTGGCCCGCTCGTAACTCTACGTCGAGGATGGTGTTTGTTTTGTTTGAATTTTGTCTGTGTTCTTGATTGTTTTGTTTGTTTGGTTTGATTTTTGGGGGAAGTTTGGTTGGGAGAGAGAAGCATTCGCTTTGAGTAGGACAAGGCATAATCGTGTAGGAGGGAAGCGAGCGAAAATCCAGGAGACGTAAGCGTTAAGCAAAGGATATGCGTGAATGTGTTGGGGGGGTTACGTGTGTGTGTGTGTGTTGGGGGGAGGTTACATGTGTGTGTGTTGAGGCTGGTTACATGTGTGTGTGATGTGGGGGGTTAC